GAAATTAGTACCAGTGGCCCTTTTTTTTCAGCCAGCCAAAACCTTGATAGCGGCCTGTCGGCTGCAAATTGTCATAATCTTGTGCTTGAATTGTTTACTTTATAGCTCATTTGTTGATCGCATGACTATATTGTTTTTCAAATAATGCAGTTTGGTGGGGACATTATGCAATGGTAGGAGCAATCACAGTTAACTTATTCTGCAGCATATTCCAATAATCTCCACATAATAAAATTTTCAATGTGCCAGGAACATGATTTAGTATACTAGTACCATAATACGACCGGTTGAAATTTTTTTTTTCAATTTTCCAAACAATTATATTATTACGCTTGTCAGACCGTGGTTTCAACACACTAAAAAATCTCTCTACTTCTCTCCAAATAAATCCTAGGTTCTCGCCTTTTGATAATCCGGGAGTCGGCAAAAGGCGTGGCAACCTCTTCTTTCTCCTGGTAGTTGATGAAATTTAATTCACCGGTAAAAACACAAGAAAAATCATTCCATCCATGCAGTTAGGTAGGTACGTATGTTCCCTTCACATTACTTTGTTAGTTGTAATTACCGGTTTCACATCTCTTTTCACAGTTTTCTTGTTCCCTTATTTATTAGGGTTTTGGTCACTTTTTGCCCTTAAGCCTTTGTTCTTTTGGCCTCTCACTTCACATTGCTTGCTTTCCCACATTCGATTTCTTCTTTGTTCATATGAACTATAGGGCTGTCAAATTTTGCCCGTAAACATGCGTTGGTTGAGAAGAGGAAGTAGGAGCAGAAATTTTAGAAAAGTCATCCGTCTACTAGAAATAGTGTCACACTTTGGCAGCTTATGTTTAAACACTTCCAAAAACCTTAACCTGCTTAAGAAAAGGAATTAATTAAAGGAATTGCGAACAATTTATTCCCTAATCTCATATTCTTGTCTATCACATGATGGGACTTTATTTTTCTTTCAATGGCCTCAATCAACAGCAGCCTCCTATGAGATTTATGAAAGATTCTGTTTCATTGAATAAATGAGTCTTTACAACAGTGTGTGTATATACACACACACACACACACACCTACTAATCATAATTAGCACCTAATTAAGTATAACTAATTATACTAAGACAACAATTAGTTACACTAAGCAAACAGAAAACTGTTATGATGTTCTGGATTGTGTGTCAATACACCCCCTCAAGCTGACAAGAGGTAATTCGAGAGAAAGTTTGGACTACAAAGTGTTGAACCGAGCTTTAGAGAGAGCCTTTGCGTGAATATCAACAATTTGATATTGAGTACGCACATACTGGACATGAAGAAGATGAGACAGTACTAACTCCCGAATATAGTGATAATCTATTTCAACATGTTTGGTACGAGCATGAAAAACTGGATTCGAAGAGATGGAGATGGCAGAGACATTATCATGCCATAAGACAGGAATTTTGGATAAAGGAAAGCCAATGTCTCTAAAAATCTTACAAATCCATGTAATATATGTTGCAGTATGTGCTAGAGAATGGTAAGGTTGTTGCCCAAATACACACAATATGCTTTGCTTCTTGGCACTCCAACTGATAAGGTTGTTGCCCAAATACACACAATAGCCACTGGTGGAACGCCGATCATAAACACAACCAACCCAGTCAACATCAAAGAAAGCAGTGAGATGTAGAGGACTCTTTCGAAACCATAACCCTTGATTGACAGAACCTTAAGAAATCTGAGGATCCTTTTTACAGCTTGATAATGTGTATCCCGTGGACAATGATAAGTTATGCCGTGTCCAAGTCAAATATTGTAGAGCACCAACAATGGACCTGTATTCATAAGGATCAGATATAGGGGAGCCAACATGATCTAATTTCTGACTACCAAGTGGTGTTGAACACGATTTGCAGCCTTCCATCTTTGCTTTAAGTAATAAATCAAGAGCATATTTCCCTTGAAAAAGAAAAATGCCCTCTGAAGATCTCTGGACTTCCAGGCCTAAGAAATAATGAAGACGGCCTAAGTCCTTAACTGGAAACAGTTTACCAAGTTGAGTGATAAAATCCTTACAGACTGAAAGATTTAGACCAGTGACGAATATATCATCCACATAGACCAAAATAATCACCAATGAATGAGAGAATGTAACAAAGAGTGAGCAATCAGATTGTGAGTTAGAGAAGCCAATAGATAATAGGGCATGAAACAATTTGTCATACCAAGCTCTAGGAGCTTGCTTGAGCCCATAGAGTGATTTATTTAACTTGCAAACATAAGAAGACTTAGAAGAGTCAATAAAGCTTGGAGGTTACTGCATGAATACTTCTTCTTTGAGGGAACCATTGAGAAAAGCATTACTAATGTCCAGTTGATTCAAGAACCAGTCAAACTAAACAGCCAATGTTAGCAAGATTCGAATGGTCACTGGCTTTGCAACAAGGCTAAAAGTTTCCTTAAAATCCACACCTTCTTGTTGATAAAAGCCTTTGGCTACTAATCCAGCCTATCCACAGAACCATTAGGTTTCCCTTTATTCTAAAAACCCATTTACAACCAATTAAATTTTGATGAGGAGAAGATGGAACAAGAGTCCATGTACCAGTAGACTGTAGAGCTTGAAATTCTTCTAACATAGCCTGTTTCCAATGATCATGCTTAGATGCTTGTAAATATGTAGTAGGAACAAATTGGGCAAGATCAATAAGGTGTTTGGTTGCTGTTAAAGCCCTTGGTTTAAAGATTCCAGCTTTGGATTGAGTTATCATTGGGTGAGTATTATGGGGAGGGGGAGGGGGAATGGGAGAAACAGATGGTTGAACAGAAGGTGGAGAAATTGATTGAGAGGCAAGAGGTGAAGAAGTAGAGCTGGAATAATGTAATGGAGAAGATGATATAGGAGAAGCTACAATAGGTGTAGTAAGAGGTGAAGTAATGGGAAAGGGTAAAAGAAAGGATGAATCTGGAACAGAAAAAGAGTATTGGGTAAATGGTTGAAGAGATTGTTGATGAAATGGAAAATGACTCTCATTAAACAAGACATGCCTGGAAATATAGACCCGAGATGTTTGCATATCTAAACATATACACCCCTTATGCTGCAGGCTATAACCAAGAAAGTCACATGGTGTACTCTTGATATCAAGTTTAGAAGAAACATAAGGTTTGAGCCAAGGATAGCAACTGCATCCAAAAACTTTTAACCTTGAGTAATCTGGAGGCTTTTGAAAAAAAAGTTCCTATGGTGATTTATCCGAACCAGAAATTGGCAATCAGTTAACTAGATAAACTGCAGTGGAGAAAGCTTCAACCCAAAATTTGTGGGGAACTTTGTAAACAGCAAGCATTGTTCGAGTGGTCTCAATTAAATGCCTATGTTTCCTCTCAACACACCCATTTTGCTCTAGGGTGTGAAGGCAACTGAATTGATGCAAAATACCATGTTGGAGAAGAAATGAACTAAACCCCTGAATCATATCGTAGAGTCTTGATTTTGTTTCCAGTCAAATTCTCAACATATGATTTGAAATGCACAAATATGGAGAAGACCTCAGATTTGAACTTCAAAGGAAATAGCCAACTATATTTGGTAAACTCATCGACAAACAAAACATAGAATTTATATCCACTAACAGAGGAGATAGGAGCAGGGCCTGAAACATCATAGTGAACAAGTTCTAAACTGTGATTAGTACTACTAGTGCTTACAAAAAATGGCAACTTATGATTTTTACCAATTGCACAATCTTGACAAAAGAAAGATACAGATTGTTTTCCAGTGTAAGCAAGCTTATTTCCACTTAATATCTTTCGGAAGATTGCAGAAGAAGAATGTCTAAGCCTCTTATGCCAAAGTTGTAAGGAAGCTGAAGTACTAATATTAGTATAGGATGATGTAGAATCTGGAGCACAAACATAAGCAGGTGAAGTACCTTGCACATGATAAAAGCCAGAGCTAACTAGCCCTTGAAAAAGCATCTTCCCTGTAGAACAGTCCTTGATTGTAGAACCATCAGAATCAAGGAGTAATTGACAATAATTATCCTTTAAAATTTGATATGTAGAGAGGAGATTAAACTTCATATGAGGGACATGGAGAACATTGTTCAACTTAAATGTTGCAGTTGGAGTTTTAAGAACAAAAGTACCAGTGTGGTGAATGGGCATACCTTGACCATCACCGATATAAACCTTGTCTTCACCATGATAAGGCATAGGAGAATGAATAGTAGAGATATCATTCGTGATATGCGAGGTAGCTCCAGAGTCCAAAATCCAGGTAGGAGAGGTAGATTTAGCAGTGGTATGAGCACACATTGCTGCTAATTTAGCTGGTGGAATTTTCCCAGCAAACGCATGATTCATGTGTTCAAAGCAGTCAATGGCTTCATGATCCTGAGAGTGACAAATTTGATACCATATGAGATTTATGAAAGATTATGTTTCATTGAATAAATGAGTCTTTACAACTGTGTGTGTATGTATATATATACACACACCTGCTAATCATAATTAGCACCTAATCAAGTATAACTAATTATACTAAGACAACAATTAGTTACACTAAGCAAACAGAAAACTGTTATGATGTGCTGGATTGTGTGTCAATACCTCCCAAGTAATATGTGGATCCCACTTAACTAGCAAACCTTGTTGGAATTGTACTGGGAAAGTGTTATTCATACAGCTATTTTTATCTCTTACATATCTTTGTAAATTTTTTGTCAGTGATATTCTTCAATTCATTGATCTGACTATCAAAAATTGATAAATATATGTGAGAAGTAAAAATTAGTATGTGAATAGCACTAACCTGTATAAAAGTAGAAACTGTGTCACGTCGGTGGACAAAACATTAGGTACTTATATGAGGTTGAAAATTACAGACTGGGATCATGTGCCTAAATTTCTATGAAATTGGCAAAGATACATATAAAATCATAAGCCATTTATCTACACATTTATCTTTGCCCTTTCACGTTCCTATACACCAAAGAAAGATACCGTGCGGAAATCATATCTCTATAAGTACGCATCCCCTCACACTCATCTGAGTCATCACCCATTCACAGATCTCAACCTTTCCCATATCCAGTCCCACTCCAACTCCAACTTTCTTCAATGGCTAAAGCCTCAATTATCTTGCTTCTTCTCCCCATTGTCTACTTTGTTTCCACAGCCAAATCTTCATCCACCACAACTCCTACGAACTTCATCAGCGACTCATGCAGCGCAACCACCTACCCAGAAGTCTGCGTCAAATCCCTCTCTTCCTACGCCAGTTCAATCAAACAAAACCCCCGCCGGCTGGCCCAGGCCGCCTTGTCCGTCAGCCTAACAAAAGCACAGAGCGCCAAAACATTCGTGACCAGGTTGGCCAAGTTTAAGGGACTAAAATCCAGGGAGTACGGAGCCATCAAGGACTGCATGGAGGAGATAGGGGACACCGTGGATAGGCTGAGCAATTCCGTACAGGAGCTGAAGAACATGGGGAAATCCAAGGGTCAGGATTTCTTGTGGCACATGAGTAACGTGGAGACTTGGGTCAGTGCTGCTTTGACTGATGATAACACGTGTCTTGATGGGTTCTCCGGGAAGACATTGAACGGAAAGATCAAGTCGGCCGTTAGAGCTCAGGTGCTTAATGTTGCTCAGTGCACTAGTAATGCACTCTCCTTGTGCAACCGGTTTGCGGGCAAGCACTGATGAGCTGCTGAGTTTTTGCTTATTTTGTTTTTGGTTTGGTTTTCTGAGAACTGTTTTGATGATGTTGTTTGGTTTCGATGTATAGTTGGTATGTTCAGTATGTTATATAGATATGAGGCATATAGTATATGCTCAAGTATTCTGAATCTCCCATATGTGAAGCTATGTTGGCTGTTTTTTGGTAATTGGTAAATCTTTATCTTTTGGAACTTAATTAAACCTGTTTTGGAGCTTAACTTAGTAATGAGATCCTTGATTAAAGGAGTAATTTGGATTTAATCGTTTTACCTTTTTTAATTGACAAATGAGATCCTTGATTGAGGGGGATAAAAACTGAAATACAATACGGTATAATCAGTTCAATTTGTTATAATATGAATAGAAGACGAAGTATAATATCAACAAATATTAACATTCAATAATTTTTTAACACATAGACTATGTTCCCAAACATGCAATATTCTTCTTTTGTTTTGGTAAAAACTACAATTAAGTCGAGCATTGGCTACACAATTATTTCCAACTCATGAGTACGTTATGTCGTGATGTAAAACAATAATTGAATGAGGATCGAGTAGAGAGTGAGCAGGAAAAGAAATTAAATAGGATAAGTGTGAAAATGTTAAAGGGAGGGAGCAGACAGAGAGAGAGAGGAAGAGGGGGGATTGGTTGTGGGGACTCGCCTGTGGCGGTGAGCACGTGAGTGGGAACGTAAGAACGCTGGCAAGTGAGAGCGACGATTGGCGACAGCCGACTGCCGAGGATTCTCGTTGGCCTTTGATTGTGAACAAGAGTCAAGGTTGAAGACCACGTGAAAGAGGAGATAACTAGTGGACAATGGACTGTCAGTACTTCTTAGCATGTATTTAAATATGGGACGCATAAATAGAACCCAACATCATATCTATTAAGATATTAAACTACATGCATTATATATTAATGCCATCAATCATGATTGTGGCCACCATTTTTTCCCTTCTTAATATTTGATTTGAAATTTTTTTTTTTGTATATTCTCTTTCATATTCTAACTTTATTTCAGTTAATGTGAAGAGCGAGATTTAAATATGAATACAGAGAGGAATATATTGTTCTAATAAAGGAACATTTTGTTTAACTCATGTTCTTCTTGTTAATGAGAAACGCCAAGTTTGGGAAGGTGGTGTGGAATGAGTGAACTAATATTTGCAGCAAATTTCACGATGAGGGGGGCTTGATAGTTTGCGAGATAGTACTTAGTCAATGGTTAGAGTTGAGTTTTAGTGCTGTTTATTCAAATTTCAATTTAGATAAGAGCTTGTTAGGTCATGATTCAAGATGCTCTAGAAGCTCCTTAATTTTATCATGTTCTCAATCGATCTATATATGTGTATGTCCATTTTTTTATTCTGGACCACTAAATTTGACTGCAAATAAAGAGTGCTGACTCACTGATTAAGGTTTTAAAGTTACCCCATGTAAGGAAATAATGAAGCGAGCGTAAGGTAATGTTTAGAAGAGAAATGTTGGGAAGATTTTTTTAAAAGTATGACTTTTTATGGACTCTCTGCCACCTTATGTTTTTATGTTTTTTGCACAATGTTTTATATGTTCGTACGGGAATAGACATTAAAGTGTGAGGTGACAGAGAGTGCATAGAGAGTCACACTTTGAGAGAGTTTAGAATTAGAATAGGAATGGAAGATGGTTCAATTTCCTATAATGTAACAAAATTAGCCATTTAATATACTTTCTAACATAATGTTGGATGTATCATTTGGGTCAATATCTAAGTGAATAGGGTGTTGAGTTTTCACCGATACATCTTGGGTTGGAAACTCCCTCCTCAGTGAATTATTGTAATGCTTTCGAACCATCTACTTCTTATAATAAATTTAACATTAGTTGTAACTTCCAAGCTTGGTTTTTGTTTCTTTTAAGAAGACCATCGACCAAGACCATATATCTCTAGTGACCTTTATTTTTTGGAAGATGGTTTTTGTTTCTTCTAATGAAATAAAATTAAAAGTATCAAAATTGTAAGGAAAATGTTTAATCAAATTTGTAAAAGGAATAGATGTTTAGTCTATGACATTTAAAAACGAGGCGTTTATATTAAAGCATCCCTATTTGTACATTAGGAAGTTTGAATTGGGTAATAACCATCCGTTCATTGTAACAACTGGCACGCACGGCAAATTCATATTTGAAATAGGGAAATGAGTTTTGTCCCCTTGTTCTGCTCATGTACAATTCTGTTTATTTATGTCTTTTAATTTTTCTTTGCTTTCTTCGTTCAAAGGTTAGAAATAAACAAGAATGTTCATGAAAAATAAAAAAGATGTGTGAAAATCTTTTCCTTAAATCATAATAAAGCATTAACCATGCATGCTTGGAATCTTCATTCATTCATCATTGTGAAACTCACATGGGAATTGGAATGGGAAAATTGCGGATACCATATAAAAACGTCAAATAACGTTCAAGACGGAAGTTATCCTATAAATGATGTATTCATGTCTGTTCGAAATACCAGTTAATTAAATCAGTTCATTCTGTTTCTTTTTTCTGGGAACACACATCGGAAGTTCGTATATACCGGATAAAAATTGTATAAGACAGCTAAAAGTTTTATCGATCGAGAATTATTACGGATCATGAGATTGGATCTTCAACGTGCAGCTTAGCTTATTTGTTGCTCAAAAATCAAATTCCTCAAATAATAGTACAATAGTTTGATAAAAAAAAATTAAAAAAAAAAAGAAAAAAGTACAACAGACATCACTTTTCCAGCAAATTACAGAAAAATCATTTCAAACAACTTTTAATTACATAAACAACCACAACATAAATTGTAAAAATCTATAAACTACGTACCAGCAATTTAAAGTTCAATATCAAAAAGAAAATAGATACAGTCGAGGAATTACAAGGGTGCGTTAACTAACTGCACTACTAGCTGAGTTTGTCGATGAGCGACAGAGCATTGCTAGCTAACCTAGCAGCAGTCACAATGCTGTTCTTGATGGCGGTCTTAATCGCCGTGCTTACCTTCATATCATCGAATTCATCAGTGCACGTAGCGTCGTCTGTGAGGACAGCACTGACCCAAGTCTTTATATCATCTTGCACGTCCCCACCCGTGACCCCCAAATTCTTCATTGAAGTCAATGAATCTTTGAGCTCGTCGATGGATTCCTTAATATTTTCTAAGCAATCGTTGATGACCCCTTTCTCCGTTGGGGTTAGTCCTGCCTTCTTAGACTGCTTTGACACTACGGAAGAGGCATTTTTCGAAGCTGTTAGGGTCACAGAGAGGGCATAGATACAAAGCTTTCGAGGGTTGGATTTGATTTTGGAAGCGTACGAGGAGAGGGATTTGTAGCAAATGAGTGGGTATGTGGTTGAATTGCAGGCGGTTTTGACGTAGGTTTTGTAGGTTTGAGAGGAAGAGGAGGTTGCCACAGTTGTTTGCATGTTTGTGATGGTGATCAATAAGAGAACAGCTGGGAGAAGAAATGTGAGAGCATGGTGTGAATTTGAAGTTGGGGTTTTGAAAATTTGAGCACCCATTTTTGTTGTCTTGGATTGATGGGTTTGTGTGTGTCTGTGTGTGATAGGATGCCAATACCAACTTATAGGCACCTCTCAGGTGACTTCGAAACTCCAAGCTTCTTGAAAATAAAAATAAAAATAAATGAAGTCCAGGCTAGCCATCTTAAAAATCCAAACTATGGCCCCTATTTTTTTTTTTTTAATAAAATACAAGCAATCGATGAGATGGGATCATGGGACATGCTCATTCGCTAGCTTGAGGGTACATTCTAGTTCGTGCGCTAGACCCAGCAGATTAAAAAAAAGATAAAATACAAAAAATTACCTTAACTATGGGGATCACGACAGTTTCATACCTCATCTTTTAAAATTGACAATGTCATACCGCATCTTACGAATTTGTGACAATGTCATACCTCCGTCAAATTTTCTGTTAGTTTTTCTGTTAAATGCTGACGTGGCAAGAGACGCAGACCACTTTCTATTAAAAAATTAACAAAATATTATTAAAAACTAAAAAAAATATTTAATATTTTTTAAATATTAAAATAATAAATAAAAGTAAAATTAAAAAAAAAAGGGGTAAAGTACAAAAAACTACCTCAACTATTGGAGTTACGACAGTTTCATACCTCATCTTTTAAAATTGACAATGTCATACCGCATCTTACGAATTTGTGACAATGTCATACCTCCGTCAATTTTTATGTTAATTTTTCTGTTAAGTGCTGACGTGGCTTGATTCGGGACCTACTTTCTATTAAAAAATTATTAAACACTAAAAAACAATTATTTAATATTTTTTAAATATTAAAATAATAATAAAAAGCAGAAGAAAAAAAAACCCTCATTTCATCCATCCCCTCTTCCCTTCTCCCTCCTCTCTCCTCTCTCCATCTTCATCTTCTTCCCCCGCCTGCAAATCCCAACAAAAAAAAAAAAACAAAAATCCAATTTGTCTTCCTCCCACACCCACACTCAATTTCCTCACACCCACACTCTTCTCCCTCCTGCAACCCAAAAAAAAAAAAAAAAAAAAAAAAAAAGAACCCAGATCCCATCTTTTTTGATGGGTTTTCAAATTTTTTTTTTCCCTTCTTCTTCTTCCTCTTCCTCTTCTTCCGCAGGGGAGTTGATGGTTTTAAAAAAAAAAAATTTCCTTCCTCCTTTTTTTCCTCTCCTTCTCCTTCTTCTTCTTCTTCTTCTTCTCCTTCTCCTTTTTTTTTTTTTTTTTTTTTTTCTGCTTTTTATTATTATTTTAATATTTAAAAAATATTAAATAATTGTTTTTTAGTGTTTAATAATTTTTTAATAGAAAGTAGGTCCCGAATCAAGCCACGTCAGCACTTAACAGAAAAATTAACATAAAAATTGACAGAGGTATAACATTATCACAAATTCGTAAGATGCGGTATGACATTGTCAATTTTAAAAGATGAGGTATGAAACTGTCGTGACTCCAATAGTTGAGGTAGTTTTTTGTACTTTACCCTTTTTTTTTTTTTTTTTTTTTTTTAAATTTTAATTTTATTTATTATTTTAATATTTAAAAAATATTAAATTTTTTTTTTTAGTTTTTAATAATATTTTGTTAATTTTTTAATAGAAAGTGGTCCCCGTCTCTTGCCACGTCAGCATTTAACAGAAAAACTAACAGAAAATTTGACGGAGATATGACAT